AATAGAGAGAGAGATGCATACGAACCTGATGGGATCGAATACAAACTTCGAGATTATTTTTTGTAAGAAAAGCATCTGTTACGTCAGGGCCAAAGGCTATACAATCCGCCCCCCTTGTACTCCATCCTCTCCCTCTATCTGGTTGAGGATCAGCCCATAATAAATCAAACATTAAAGTATCTTCAAAAGAATGTGGTGATGCAGGACAAGGTCTTTGTCTATGTAATTTATCTATATGATGAAGTGTAATATTATCTTTTCTACATAAACCACCATGTACTATAAATACACGACGTTCTAGAACTACACATAAAGGTAATAAATGAAATATATCTTGAAATTTTTGATATAATAAACCACCATATTTCTGACGAACTTCTTGTGCAAAACCATATACTTCATTCATATCTGCACTTTCATGATTCCCTCTATTTATAATTACACTACCAGGGCAATGTAATTTAAATGCAAATAATAATAAAAATATCTCCACTGCGCTGCGACCCCGATCGGCTATATCTCCATTAAATAAATACCTAAAAAAACAAACAAAAATATTCAAATCATATTTATATTAAAACATATATTCATATCAACAAATATTTCAAAAAAAAATACACAAAAATATTTCAATTCAATACACAAACAAACAAACACAAAACATGAACACACACACGTAAGAGGAAACGAAACCAAATTGCGATACAAATAGACACACAGAGAAACTTTATAAAGCGAAACAAAATAAAAACAATAAATAAATAAAACAAAAGAACAACAAAACAAAAACAATAAATAAATAAAACAAAAGAATAAACAACTTCAAAGCAAACAAAACAACAGAAAGGAAACAGGGTAGAGGAGAAGATAATCACCGCGAGAAACAAACGAAACAACCGAAACAAACAACAGCATACAAACAAGGAGGAACCTTAACAACAATATAAAAACAAAATAAACATAAATAAAATAAAAAAAAAAGAAAAAAAAAAAAAAAAAAAAAAAA